TTCAGCTTCCTACTGCATTCAGATTGTTAGGCTCTATCGTTGCGTTGACTGGTTGGATGTGGTGGAGTCCAAAAACGAGCAAAATATAACTTAAATTGTTTGTTTCCTTAGGCAAATGCTTTATATGTGTTCACATATTTACTTTTCAAACCAATTGCAACGTAAATTGCAAATTAAAAATTAACTTTGTTTACTTGGAAAATTATTAAAATAACAAAAATAAATATAAGTAACAAACTTAAATGAGTAAATAAAAAATGCCTAAGATGGAAAAAATATTAAATCACAAACCTAACTATTTTAAAATGAGATACTCTGCTGCAAAGTTAGCGAAACTCTAATTGGTCACACAAGTTTCGATTAACTTGCAAACTTATTTTATTTAATTTTACTTACAAAACGCTTCATTAACGCATTTTATGCTCATTAGAAGTTCAAATATTTTCTTAATAAATATTTTTATTTATCTTTTTAAATGATTTCTTTAGTACTGTACAGTGAATTCTTGAAAAAAAAATTGTACGAATATAAAGATCTACCTTTCTGCCTTGTCTTACTGTAGGCCGGGAAAAGAGTTTCGCTTCGTCTCCATTCGATATCAGGAACACCTCAATGACGATTGTGTAGATCTTCATTTCTAGAGTGCAACTCTCACTTCCAGTTAATGATAGTTGCAGTAAAAAACATCTGATGATCGTAAGGCTGAGCTTAAGTGAAACACAAGTCTCTGAAATTTATCTATATATATATATTTAAGATCTTCTTTGTCAAAAAGTACCAAGCTATTTGTAATTGGAGGATACTTTTTGTTTTTCATCGTATTGTGTATTTTTTTGACACTACAAAAAAGTAAATTAGTTTTTATCTGAGGATTTTATAAAGGAAAAATTTACAAAACTAAGCAAATATGTAAAATATTTCAGTGGCTAATCTGATTTTAAAGAAACAAAAATAATATAAATAATACTACGAAATTTTTTTCAATACATTATATAGTACGTATTGCTTCCTTTAAGGTACATTCTTATATACCAATGGTTCCCAACTTTTTTTTGACCAAAGAACACCATAATATTTTTGTTTTTAGTAAGGACCACAAAATTTAAAAATAATAAAATGAACTGTATAATTATTTTAATATGCTTTATGCATTTCTGATATAATGTATTATGAATTGTACAAGTGCATAAGTATATTATATAGGCCAGGGCAGCCAAGACAAGATAAGTTCGTGGGCCAATAAAAATCGCTGATAGATATATAATTACTTGGAAATTTTTTGTGCTTATTTTCTAATAATCTCAGTGGACAAACTACAAATTTTGTATCCATACCTGGTATATTTGATTCCCGGACTATTTTTGACCATCTCGTAGACTATCAGTTGGGTACCACTGATATATACAGAATAGATTGTGTAGTTATTGGACTTATTTGCATTATCAAGCGATATAAAATAATTACAGTTTACTACAGTTGACTCTCGATATAACGAATAATAGAATGTCTAGACTTTTCATTATTTCGAAGAGATTTCATATCTAATATTCGTTATTTGGTTAAAATATTTTGGTTCTCTGTCTATTATTTCAAAGTTTTGTTTGATTTTTTATTTAATTGTTCGTTATTTAAACTGTTTGTTTCATCCGTATTTACTATATATTATACTATATGTTATACTATACTATATAAATATATATAATATATATATCATATATATATACTATACTATATATAATATATATAAATAATCGATTAAAACTTAATGTCATTTTGGCTATATTATAGTATCTAGAATTTATTTCTGTACACACTGTATACTTTCTCAGATGATTGTAGTAAATAGTATTATTGACTTTTTTATTAGTTTAAAAAAAGATTTTATAAAACCTTATTAGGGCTCAAAATGTCTGAAATATATTTATATATATACTGTTATATGAATATTGTATTAATTGTGTTTTTAGCTATATATATTCATATTCATATATTAATTCAAAAAAACTATTATTTGAAAAACTATATTTGATTTAATTGACACCATTTAATCGACTGGGAGACTTTAAAAAATTTACTGAATGATGACGTCTGTCTACTTTACCAAACGTGAACGTTTCAGAGTCTATCCTAGCAATTTGTAAGCGGAACAGTAAACTCGGATATAAGGTTGCATCTTTCTCTTTCATTTGATTAAAAATCAAATATATGGATCAATACCTTAACTCTGAACTGTAATAATTAATAAAAGTGGACCAGAGCAATATATTTTTTCAGAAAATATTTTTCAGAATCAATTAGGTTAGAGCTCATTTTATTTAACCTGGAAAGATATGTAACAGCAGTCAAGTAGTCGTTGGTATAAAACTTCGTATATTTAACGCAGTTCTATTTATTGGATATGTAATGTGGAACCCAACAGATGGGAAGCGCCCGATGGACTGATCTTGACTTGAAGAAGAAAAGTGGAATTTGAATTCAAAGGTATTAGAATACTCATGATATGAGTACACTTTTACTATAGCTCAATGTTAACTGATAATAGAGACTAATTGCTTTACATAAAAGGACAGTACTGTATATACCTATGCGCGTACATAGCCAATGGTGCTTTGTGTGAAAAGGTCAATAATGTGAGCTCACTATATAGCTCTTAATACTACATAATTAAAATTTTATTTATTATTTTAAATTTATTTTTTAAAAATTGCTTTAGCCATTTCGAACTTAAAAAATACTAGTGTTCTTTACTTTCAATGGAGAATTGTAACTAATTTTTGTTCATAGTAAATGTCAATAGGCAGTAAATGCACAGAAATAAGTTTGACTTCCTTTTTTGACTGAAATTAAAAAAAAAAAAACTTTTTAAAAGTAAATATGACCTCCTTTTTAAACAGAAATAAGGAAGAAGTTTTCAATGAAAAAGTTTCAGCGTGTACGAGTACGTGGCTTTCTTTCAAAAAACCCGTAAAAAACCTAGAGAAGTACGTTCGAATTTTTAAGTATCCTACAAATCTTTAAAGTAATATATTTTTCTTTTTTTATAATTTAAAATCAATATTTGAAAAATATATTTGATACTAAGGGCAAACATTTAAAACTAATTAATTTTAAATATTTTATGAAAATAAACTCCGACAAGTATAATCGAACAGATACTTGTATCTTACCTTCCCTTTGTTTATTAATAGATACATTCGAGCAGTAAAAACAATATTTTCAACTAATAAATAAATAGATAATTATTGGTAGCAATTCTAGTACAAACCCTTACCAAGTAGTGACAAGATTTCTTATCAATTCGTCGTCTCATGCACTATAATTGTGTCGTATCTACTTAATAACTTTAAATAACTTTTGTGTTTCGAATATAAATAATCTTATAAAAATCTAAACATTTTTCACAAGGAAAACAGGAAACTTTTTTCATGAAAATTCGTTATTAACTCAGAGCACGAATTTTAACTAAATTGCAAAGTATGTTCTATAAAAGAAACCTACACAAAAAATTAAGTGGATCCAAAAGTTTGAAAAATAATGCATAAATAAAAATAAGCAACCACAAATTTTAACTATATTACTATGTAATGTAATTGGGATCACTAAATCCCAATTGGTTCGAAGCTGTAAAAACTCATATCGAAGTTAAATAAAATGAGTCCAGTAACACTCGTCGATAATATACCTCTAGCTCAAAAAGTACCCGAATTTTGTAAATAAAACACACAAATTTAAATTTTATTCCAAATTTATTTTATCTTCTTCAAAATATGCTCCTTCTGAAGCGATACATATACGCCAACGCTTAACCCAATCTTCCATACACTTTTCGTAGGCCCGTGAAGGTATGGCTTTTAGTTTCTTCAGCGAATTCTCTTTTACCCATTCAATCTACTCAAAACGCTTACCACGAAGAAACAATTTGAGTTTCGGGAACAGGAAAAAGTCGTACGGATCCAGATCTGGCGAATATGGTGCCAGAGCGATGACAGTGGTGCCGTGTTTGGTCAAAAAATCGCGTACAACAAGAATTTTCCATAGTAAAAATCGCTAAATGCACTTGAGGTAATCTTACATTAACAGCTGCTGTAAACAAATTAATTGACAGATGGCGCTCAAATTTGTACCATATGTCAAGAAAGGGTGTACCAACATAACAAAAAAAAATTTTTGAAAAAGGTCCATTACTTAAGGAGTAGTCAACAAACAACAAAATCCGGCGATAGATTATCTTACTTAGATTATTAGATAATTTGGTCTCTTTTTCTAAGATATTGAAACATTTAAACACTTTAGCTGTGCTTGATGTGAAGAGCTTTACTTACTTGGGAAGTATTCTCTTCAAAAACAGAGGCGCAAAACAAGACATAAGCAATCGAAAAAATTTTGAATGCATGCGTTAAGTCTATCTTATTATACGCTAACATGGAATCCCCAGGAAACCCGGCGTAGAGGCAGGCTAACGACAACATTGAGTAAAACAATTAATACTGAATCGTTGAACTTCGACGAATTTCGCAAAATAGAGATAAATCATTTGTTGTATCCTTAAGCTCCTAATGGAGTATGGAATAAAATAATAATAAAAATAAACACTTTACTCGATTGAACAACATAAAAAATTGACACGTTTCTTAGTCGAAGATGGTATTAAAAACCTCTAACACCTGCAGAAATGGTTTCAAGTTTTTCAGAAAAACTGTCATTGAATCGAATGAAGTCTGTGATCTAAAATTAAGATATATTGTTAGGTTTGTCAATAGTTTTGATTTTTGCGGTTTAGCTCAAAGGATTTCTTTTTCGGATTAAATTATGAATCTCATAGGTCGTAAAGTGGTATTAAAGTGTCTTTGAAAAGAAAGCATAATATTTTGTATAAACCTAGTACCTAGTATGATATAGAGTCTCATAAAATATTTTAATCCAAAAAAAACATTTATAGATACATTCAGCTATGATATAATAAATTATATAAAAATTTAAATACAAAATCATTTTCTTACCAATCAAATGCAAGTGTGATTATAAAATTCTAATGTTTCAAGTGATTACTTAATTAGCAATGAAAGTAAATCTGGATCTGAAATATAAAGATAGAATACATGAGTATTAAAATAGGTAAACCTAGTTATAATTAGAAATTTTTTTAATTCTATCTAAATAATTAAAATATTTTTAATAAATTAGAATGTTGTTAAAAGTTTTGTTTTCAGTAAGTTGATAGGCCCTGTGGAGGCCCTATGCTACACTGGAAGATAAGGATAAGAGAAAGAGAGAGAAAAGTTGATAGTATTGTGCTATTTAACCATACGAAGCTTTTTCGTGAGTTTTTATAATTAACTGTTGAGTGTATTGCCACCACAATCAACAGATGTATTGGAAAAACACCGAAGTTACAATTTTAAAAACTTTTCAGCCAATAGACAGCTATAATATACAATTCGCTGAAGAATTTAAAGATCATTTCACAATCAACCTACGAAAAATATATGAAGAATTAAGTCAAGTAATGGTATACCTGAATTGCACTCGCTGGGAGTTCGAGTGTTATTTGATGATTCCGAATATTTTTTTTAATGAATATTTAATTTCGCATTAACCTTAATTTTGAAATCATCATTGATAACGGGGTATAACACATGGGCATTCCACAAGCTTTAACATCTTCATAGTTTTAAGCTATATAAATGGACAGCGTACTTTCTGTAAATTGTTAATACGATTCCGTAGATCCGTTTCTTTTTTTTCTCCTTATTGGCACAAAATTTTTACTTTCTTTGTTAATTTAACCATTGAGTCAATTTCTGGTTTAGGTATATATCCTACAGTGTGCTCAACAAGGCTACGCATTCATATAATTGTTCCAAAGACATAAGCCAAACTTATCTTCTGAGCGTATACTCTTAAGTACACTAACAGGAGAATCATCATTCTCTCTGCAGTCCTTTTGAACGTATAAAATTGTGAGTTTTTATTGGGAGTATTGAAATTAGCAGGGTAAAAACATCGCAATACTGACAGACAGCTAAGCGGCGATCAAAGCACTGAATTTGCATCAGGTGACCTCAAGACTGGCGCAAAACTGCAAAACTGAAACCTTTCTATGGATTAGAACATAGTACGCTACTTTCTCTCATAAAAATAAAGGAAAACCAGAATGGAAAGGATAACTGGTATAATATACCAGGATTAACACAATCAAAATTACTTATTGGTATCTATCACAATAAGAGATACCAGAATAGTGTGCACCTATCAAAAGAAAAATTTAGAATCATCACAGGAATCCTAACAGGGCATTGTAGACTAAAACACCACCTTGCGACACTGGGTGCAAACTGTAGTTTCTGCTATGTGGATTCGGCCACACATGTGCTGTTAGAAAGCGCTGCGCTAATGCACAAACGGAATACATTGCTAGGAATGTATATGCTTACCGAAGAGGCAATAAAACTTTGTAAAGTAGGTTCTATACTAATTTTTTTTCACGCAATAGTGCTTAGAGACCTACTCTAAATCCAGAAGGGGGCGTATTAGACCCGATAGTTGCAGTGCCACATCCCTTAAAAATAATAATAATTTAGAGGTAAAATATAAACAAACAAGCTTTTTCCCATGCATAAATCAACTTATGCCAATGGAAACAACCAAATCTCTATTTCGTAAACATAAGCAGTTTTAGTTGTAGTGTTAACTACATAATATTATATTTAGAACAGGTTAGGAACTATGTGACCACTGCATCCTTTGACGAATTTTTTGACATAATATTAAGTATCCACTACTTTTTATTATTATGAAAAAAAGAATAGTACACTGCGTCCTAAAAGATCTATTGTGCCAATTTCTTTAATGAAAGACAGTATAGGGTCTATGTTCCCTATATCTACAACGATTAAAACTTATTTTGACGTATACACATAACGAACCAAGTGATAGCACCCTATATTTAAAATAGTGTAATTTTTCATTCATAAGTCAGTAAATTGAAAATCACATAAAAAGCAGACTGAAAGGACGACATAGTTAAGTCTTGAAAAAGTATAAAAAAAGTATAATATGGGTAGTCACCGCTTACCCATATTTATACCTAAAGCAATTTTTAGCTTGATGTAAGCCACACTAAGCAATAACAAAACGAGGGCTCAATATGCCCATGTACACATCTTACATACAAAAATAAATATGTAATATTGGGTGTAATATCCGAGTATACGAGTACATAGAGTGTTGTTTAGTTATAACTACTCGCATTATGGAGCAAATTTTAAACTGTGAATGCATGTGTTTTGTTTGACGTACTCGTACTCGTACTCGTAACAGTAGCAGAAGTGTATCTTTTATGTATTTTCTTTTATGGAGCACTGCAAAATAAGCCATAAAATGTTCACAGTTGTTTTCATATGAAAATTACAAAAGTATTACAAACGCAGATTAAAGTTGGCAAAGGAAAGCAAGTACATGTAGAAGAAAATGGAAGGGAAATGTAAATTGAAATACTTTGAATTCCTGTAATGTCCGCACTAAGCCAAGCAATTCCTTTAAGCGTTCTACAGAATTCATTTTTCAACATTGATTTAGAGATTTTTATTTATTTCTTGTTTGTTCTGAGACTAGCACCGCCAACTCATTTCAATTGCTCAAACTCAAAAATAGTCAGATTTAAAGATAGTCAAATTTAAAGATACAGCGAAATTGACATATTCAGTGTTGTTTATCTGAGATAGGTAAGTGCAATCATTGCGTTCTGCATCAGCTGGATCCCGAATAGCTCCATATTGTACTGCACATATGTATCAGACTGTATCAGATTACGAGTACTGTTGCATAAAGTTAAACATCGATATCTTTGTTAACTTGTACAATTTAGTTTACTTAGTGCCCAATACAATGGCTTTGTTCAGTCCACCTGCTTGAGATTTGCTGGCGTTTGGATGTGCGTATGTGAGCGTTGCATGGCGGCAGTTACTATGGCAAGGATAACTACAGGGATAATCTGCGTCATCGCAGCAGTTCTACACATGAAATTTAATAATGCTTAACGAGGTATAGCTAAAGTTTGAAATTTTGTTAAATCTGTTGTAAGGATTCGTAGAAAAATAAAAAATATAACGTTCTAGAATTTATTTATGTGTATTTAGTCATAGTTTGGAGAATTTAGTATTTATTGACACGACAACCATTAATGCAGGCTGATTTTCACAAAACGACTTTATTCGACTTTATTCGACTTTATTCGACGTTACTTGACGTTATTCGAGTATTGTGCTCAGCTTGATGAACATTTCAATTACAGAAATTATTCACTGTACATTAGAAACACATGCCAGAAAATCATTTGCATAAAATTACTTAAAGCGGACTTCAGTGAAATAAAGTACTTTCCTTTTTTTAAAGAATTTTTGTTTTTGCTTAAAAATAAAATAGAGAAATTGACACCAGATTGAGCACTTTTAAAATAATTTTCAATTATAAGTAAAAAAAAATAATAACAAAGTTATTGCCATATTGGATCATATTTCAGTAAAGATACAAAATCTAACAAGACCAAAAATGTAAATTCAATGTAAAGTGGGTATATAAAGTAGAATAGGTAGATAGGTAAAGTAGAATTAGATTCATAAGATTGAAGAAGAAAACAGAGACACTTTAGAAATCACTAAAAAGTTCATAACATTTCGGTGCGTTGGACACCACAAAAGAACCGAAAAAACAACAGATAAAAGATACTTTAATGAGGTTTTATAAATGTAAAGTACTTATTGTAATATATTACTATATACTTTATAGATAAAAAGTTAGGTTAGGTTATGCTGGCAGAACAAAAAGGCCATGTGTAAACCATTGTGATACCAGATCAGAGCCTTAATTTTTTTAGCGATAGTGTGCATCGCTTAGGATGCGCGTGTTATTAGCGAATTTTATTAGGATTTCAACAGAAACCTTAGGCGTGTGCTTCAGTCCGGTAAAACTGACAGCCCTCAAGTATTTTTGTCGAGTTCTCGAGAGAGCCGGGTAGATGCAGATGCTCCAGGGTTTTCTTTGCATCCGATTCGTTGCGTTTCCTACAAACATCGCTGTAATTTTGGTCACTGTCAATACACCCAATAAAGTTCTACAGTTTCTTCGAGATAAAAATTTAATTCAGTATTACAAAAAAAAATCTCCTGAATATGTTCAGGTAATAGTATGAGTACCTAGTTTGTCCCAAATCCAATGAAATCCACTTATATTATGACTGGTAGCGTATTGATATCTATGAGTGGTGGCATGTGATTAATGTACTGTCAAAATTTGAGCAAATTTCCTTAATATTTCACTGTGACTTTACGTTTCCCAGAGGGAAAGGGGTTAAAATATTCATAAGACAAGGCATGACTGTCGTAATGGACGATCAAAATTTAATAGGTATTATTCGATAGTATTTGCAGTATAAGTGGGGAGTGACTGAGTTTCACTTGCGACACCCAATGTTAATTTGGTACTACAGGTGCTTCAGTTGCGTCGACAAAGTCAAAAAATTCTTAAAAACAAAATTAAAACCTAATTTTTTTTATTTGCCTGAAGAGCAATATGAAGACACTGCTGACCGTTTTCATCTATGTTTGGATTTAAAGGAAATTGTTTATAGTTAATTAATATTAGAGAAGTCAGATGGTGAACGTAGAATTTTATCAGGCCTACTACAAATTCTCGATTTGGATCAAGATTTTATGGGTTTTGTTGCATTTCAATGCATCATTGTACATTGTATGTGAATTCTTGACCAAAAAAGGGACCATATCAATCGATCATCCACCATATTCAATTAATTTGTTTGTGTTTAATAACAAAATTGAAAATGACGATGAAAGAAAGGTTTTGGTCGATATACTAAGACAATTCTGAGGTATGTAATGGTAATGGTGTCAATGTTTTTATTTAACCTCACAATTCCTTATGACTATAATCTATATTTTATAAATACAGTCTGTGCCTTTTTTCAGTATTGTCGTTAATCGTTAATAGTGATAGGACAAATTTTAAAAGAGATTAATTCTGTATTATGTTGGACTTCTATTTGCAAATCATCAGTGTCTA